TTTCTTTTGATTAAATGCATTATAAACATACATGATTCATCTGGATCATAACGACGTCGATCAGGTACTCTAATACGTTCACCACCTAACGTTTTCAAACCATCCATTAAACAATCAAGATAGTCTAATACATGAGCTTGCTAAACATATATATATTTTAATATAAGACAAGGAATAATAAAAAATATTACTTGATTACTGATTATTTGTACTCGATTTTCAAGTAATTTCATTCTACTTAACGTTGCTTCTTGTGGTGAATGACTAAGCATGTAAAAATATATATTACAAAAAAAAAGAATTGTTTCCTGAACCATCAACTTACATTCGTTCTTCATCAATATCACCTGCTTCTGTTATTTTTCTACCAATTTTCATATAATTATAATAAATTTCATCACCAAGTGCATCTTCAGCTATTTCAATATTAGAAGCAGATTTTTCATCAAGCGTAATTTCTATCAAGAAAATAAAATCAATATTAAAATGAAAACGAATAAAAGAAAGAGTTTTGTTACCATATTTAGTTCGACTTGTATGTCCCATATATTTTTCTCTAAGCCATGATGATTTGCAACATGGTGTCAAAGTACATAATATAAATCGCCAAAGATGTGAAAAAAGAATAAATGGAGGTGGTATTGATGGTCGAGATAAATATTCGCATATTAATGAATATCGTTGAAATTTCCATATTCGATCTGTATCAGTTTGAAGACGATCAAAAGTATTACTAGGAAAATATTATAATTGGAAAAACGTGTTTATAAGATAAGTGATTGAGTTGATCATATGATTATATATTCATTGATTCAAATAACATATTTCAACGAAATAAATATCAAATACTTCAAGCATTGAAATGAGTTTTGCAGAATTTTTTAAAAATAGATCTGGTAACATGATCATTATGAATAGAGTCGAAATTCAGAGAAGAACAAACTTCGGAAGGAGTAAAACAGTGATTGTCTTCAAACAATTTTGCAGAAAATAGGTGTTTGCCCTTTTGGAGTTTTAAATCCTCTCTCTGGAAGAGAAAATCTGGATAAAACATTGATAACTTTTCGAGTTAGATAAATCATTTTATTTGTTGATTATCATAAATCACACTTGAAAATAAAAGCTGAACAATTTGGATTCCAAAAATCAGCAACATTATCTCTGCCTGTTC